GAGAAATTATAACATAATATCTTTCTTTTCAATGTCTCATTCACTGATGTTAGTTAGGAAGTTCAGAAATACTCAGGGCCAAGTGGTCTGTGTTAAGCAGGTGGTCAGATTATAATGATCCTGTTTTGGTTTTAAAATTTGTGAATCAGAATCCTAATGAAGTATCCCTCTTTGACTGTCTCTTCCAAAACTATGGGCATTTATAGATGTGGTCCAGGAGACGGGGGAGGGAGGGTGCATAAGGGTGCATTAATAAGCTTCAGAGTTTATGTGTGTGCATTAATTGCACATGTATACATGACCAGCTTGTCACAAGGACACGAACAAGGAAGGAAAGGAAGGACCATATTAATGTCATAGGGAAGGGTGATAAGACAGAAAACCAGATCTTGTATTGATATCTAAATAGTTTCTGGAGCAAATAACCCTTGAAAAAAGCATAAAAAAGAAGCAGGAGCACTTCATTAGCCTAAGTACTATGTACTCTCCTAATCAAAGGCATGAAATATGGTTGACATGAAATAAAATCTCATCGTTTTCACACCAAATAGATTGACACACAAAGCTAAGGAGTTTTCCAAAGATATTTCACAAGCAGCAGACTACTTTGAGGGCCAGATTCACATCTGCCTCATAGATTACAGATGACAAAATACGTTCATACATTGAGTTTCAGCAAATCACTATTTGACAGGATAACCCTGGGGCTAATAATATTTCCCATACAGATTACTGTACTGGAGAGTTTGAAGGGTTTTCTTTGTTTGTTTTGTGTTTTATTTATTTATTTATTTATTTATTTTTTGATAAATCCATATAATTGAGGACATTTTAAACACAGGTCTTATATTAGAAGATAAAGAAGGAATAAAATGGGCAATATAATCCAGCAGCTGAAAACCTGAGCTGTGAGTTCTATTCCTGGCTCTCACACTTACTTTGGGCAAGCCCTTCACCTATCAGTTCTTCTTCTTCACCCACCCATTTTGGGCTGTGAGCTCTGGTGGGCCAAAGTTGGATCGTTCTGTGCCTACCTACATGCTGTCACTATCTTGCAGGTGCTATTATACTACAAACAAATGCATAATAAAGAACACAAACACAGTACAATTCAGAATTTTCATCCCTCGGGAAATTCATCCTAGTTCCAAATTACATCAAAAGCTAACATTTCACATTTTTACTGCTCCCACCTGACCTTCACATACATGCAGGTACACTCTGAGCAAGGCAAACACTGATGGTTAGAGCCACCAAAGTAAATGGAGGTTAAATTTGTTCCATGTACTCAGTATGACCCAGACTTTATTAACACAAATAGTTTCACTGAACTCATTTAGGATTTATTATGAACATAGCATGATGTAGCAACTCCATTCTTTTCAAATACTTTCTTCTTATTCTGTATACTCTTCTTTGAAACTAACTGTCCATAATAGTTTTTTTCAAATCATTTGATTTTATTCTGTAGCAATCTTTCTGACATCACAGTCAAATTAATGGCAATTCTAATTATTAGAAATCATATCAGGGATCCACAGAAGAACAGAATAATTGACACTGTTCTCTTATTGTTATAACGATGTAATCAGAGGACTTAATTGTTTCAAATGATGAGGAATTCACTTGTGTGAATCTCAGGGCAGAATTGGGACCTAAAATAGCAATGGCATCAACTACCATTGATATGAGATGTAACATACTACAATACTACATACTACAATACTGTAACATACTACAAGGAACTACAATACCTCTTATTTCACCTTTTTTTTCTCTGCCAAACTAAGGCCCAGTCCTCTGTCCCATTATCAACCAACATAACTTTCCATACACAAGAAGGCTTATTGGACACCTCTGTGTCCAACTCTACTTCTCCTATATATCTCTCAGTACTTAATCAGTACCTTGAAACTATGCACAAACTGATGAACTTAAAAACATGTAGGGGGTGGGCAGGGGCCCAACTGATTTTTTTTCATTCAAATAACTATTAAATGTTTATCTGGCTTTTCTCTGTTTGCCTTTTTAAATTAAAGTTTCTAAATAAAAAGTTGTTTCAACTTCATAAATGTGCAACTTTTGTAAACATGAAAAGAGGATATGTTGATAATCTCAAAAACATTTTTCTCTGAAGTAAATCTACTCAGGAGATTTCTCAAAAGCACTCTTCTTCATGAACAGGTTGCATTTCAGAGCTGGCATTTTGCCTGCCCCCCCAAAAACGTGGATCATCAAGAATGATGAGTTCTAGAGTGATAGGTATTTATAGTTTAATGACCGCCTAGCACATGGAGCTGCTGGGGATGTTGCACCAGGGCCTTTGGTAGCTTCTGCTAACGTAGAGCTCAGTGTGGTTCAGAGATCATAAAGCATTCAGGTAATCCTGGGACCCTGGTTATAATTTAGCCTTGAATGACAACAGTGGAATTACCGTCTCTCTCAATTCTCTCACATAAGACATTTTCAAACGGCTGGTGAAGGTTAGTTAAAGTAAATACTGTGCACCGTGCTCTATATGTATGAATTCTTTTAAGGCAAACTAATGACCACATGAGCACAGAAGTGAGCTAAATCTCAAGCATAGGGTTGTTAACTATCTGTAAATGTATGGGCAGTCTGTAAAAAATAGGGAAACAAATGCTTGTCCATGAAGTCCATTAAAGAATGGAGCCATTTTTAAACAACTAAGAAAAAATAAGCTTGCTGGACAGATGGAGCAGAGTAGCACCACCTGATGCCTGAGCAGGAGTCCCCTCCCTTCTCTCCAGCCATGTTGTGATCATGTATCCGTTGGGCCATTCCTTGTTTCTAACACCTCAAAGGTACAAGGAAGAAGGTGGTGTGGCCAGCAGGTGAGAAGAGGTGCTGGGCAGGTGTTTATGCCAGGATGAGGGGAGCAGAACACTGCGATCAGGGGTGTCAGGGTGTGGGACCCAAGGTAAGCATCAGGGTAGGTAGGGGACCTGTGGGGTAGGGTCAGCTGGGTATAGAACCATTGCTGAAGTAAAAAAACATTGCTAACTCAAGATTTTTTTGCTAATCTTAAAATGTTTACTCACAACCAACATTTTCTAGTGGCTTTAAACCTCTAAATTTGAACCCAGCCCTTGCTACTGTTGTCCAGAGTCTGGTAGAAGGGTTACATTTATATTATATAAAACATATGTCAGGGAAAAAGTTCAGCTGTCAGTAAAAAAAAATGCTGATTGTCTGTAAAAAAAAAAAATCTTGAGGTGGCAAGCCTTCTCTGGCAGCTTGACACACTAAAGCAGGATGTATTTTTCAGTGTTTCCTTTTGTTAGTCCTCTAACTAAGGGATTCCTTTCTTCCTGCCTCTAAAAAACCCCAAAATATGTATATTTTAGGACAATGGAGACAATCAACACTGCCACCATGATCACAGTCTGCCTTTAGTTCAGATATTTATAATCTCTTTGTTCTGACCCTAGAAGAATGGTAATTCCTCTGTATTCTAGACAGCAACCCTGACTGTCATTTAAGAAAACGTCAAAGTAATCACATGAGATCCACAGCGGTTGATTTAAACATTTGATATTTAGAAATAAAAAATGTCTCTTGCCTTGTTTTAAGCTAAGTATATTGGATAATCAATACTCATATCCAACATATTGCTTCTTGAACTTATGTTGTTTATAACTTGGATATTACTTTGCTATGACCTGCTGTCACCATTACTTCCTTTTGCAAAAAGGGGGATTTGGTGTAATGTATTCATAAATCTCCCACCACAATGTACAATCTTTGTTTGGGAAATACATCAAAAAATCAATCATCTCAGCTTTATTTTTTTAAAAGACATTTGTGCCTGGCATTTGATTTAATTATTATAACATAAAGCAGTTTATACTGTCTTTAATGATTAAAATGCCCAAAACATCTTACATTCATTTTTCTTATTTACTTGTGTTATCACATAGCCTAAATTGAGGGGCAGGAGTTTATTATGCTGGGCCCCATTTGAGCAAGGAACAAGACAGACAGTGTCTGCCCCAGCAGATTTAACATCTTAAACCCCCATTTATCCACAGGCATAGGCCCAGCTGAAGCCATTTCATTTAGTTAAAATTTGGGATCTTGGTTTAAGCCCTCAACATTGGAGTAAGAGACTCAATGTGCATGTAAAGGAAGTCAACATGGAGTCTGGGGTTTACCTTAATGTACTTGCCCTATGCTTGGGAAAAAGCACACTGCAGTCTTTGACCAGGAAAAGAAGAAGGATCTCACCTCAACCTCAAAAGCTCAGTTGTTCTGTCTTGATGTGGAAAAAGTAAATCCCTGGTATAAGACAGCCTCACAAAACTCTCTTCTAGCTGTTCACACAGGCCTTGAGTCATGCAGATGCAAGTCTGCCTTGCAATGAATTCCAACCAGTCTGAAAGAAAACATGCTTAAATTTAAACAATAGCACATATAGAGAAATTTCATTCCAGAAGATTTCTGTTTAATGGTCCAGAAGAATAAGACATGCAACAAGAAGTTAAAAAAGAAAAAGAAGATAAGAACAGCCCTTTCTGTGCCAGGAAAATTTAGTGAAATGTGTTGCTGTTCAGAACAATATTATGGAATTTGTATATATGGCCATAGTATTTAAAATTAATATTAAAAAAAAGAGAAAGATTGAGACTCTGGAGGCAACAAAATTTGTGGTGAGCAAGTAATTAGAATGAAGAAGCACATGATAACTAACCATCTGCCATCAAGAGAACAAGTGTACCTGGTATTACTTTTGTAGATAAACACAGAGATGAAACACCAGCTTGTACATGGCAAATTCTGGGAACACACTTGTTTACCATGCAGTAGGAAGTAGGGTTGAGTAGAACATTTACTTTCTACCTATTTTCAAATAGCACCATTTTGTGACAGTCAGAATTAGGTCACAACCAGTTATGAAAGTGTTTCTCATTAACCATAGGCATTCATACAATATCTTTAAATTGTCAGCTGTTCACAATATAGTCTATATTTTTGTTCTGGGTACATACAGAGCCTCATACAATGGCTTGATTGGGTTTCCAGCCACATACAAATATTCAGTTTCTCCTGGGAAAGTTACTGCTCTGTGTGTTACCAAACACAAATAACACCACTACGTAATCCTCAGTTCTTCTGGTTGAATTGGGTTGGGGCTTCACTTTATACATTAAAATATTATTTAACTAAACTTTGTAAGGGAGGAAATCTAATGGTAAAATGTAATATGTAACAGATCCCAGATGTTAAAAACAATAGAATGACAAAACTGTAAGATTTACTAGATTATGCAAAACAGGATGCAGAAACTATAATTGCTACAGCTTTCAAATAGCCAGAAGTTCAGCAAAAACACTGAGAGCTCTTAACAGGGCAAGGTCTTTGTTTTAGTTCCAACATTGGTATAAAAAGAACGGATTTTCTGCATGTGTATCCATGCAGGCTCTTATTGTGGCATAGTGATTGAGGTTGTGTGAAATGTTCACTATCATATTCAATAATAAATGCAATTTTGATGCTAGAAAGATGCTCTAAAAAGGGCAAGCCTGTGCAAAATTTTGTATTTTGTGATTCTGTGATTTTAAAAAGAAATGCTAGTTTTCTTTCATTTACTACTTCATTATCACTCTTGAAAGTGTCTCCTTAAAACTAATAAATAATAGTCATCAAGGCATTTATGCAAGGTATTCCACCTGCATGCAGAATTATTTTTAGAGCCAAGGTAGGAGGTGAAAGGGGAATTTTTAAGGACAACATGTAGCCAAAAAGCAGGTGTATGTCTTTAAACTAATTGCTGGCCTATAATTTAGTATACAGAAAGAGAGAGAGAAAGAGAGAGAGAGAGGCCATACAGGAATAAAATGTCTAAAAGCCTGTAATCTTGGCTGAGTCTTTGAACTCTGTATTTTAAGCTCTCTTTTTTCCATTTTTGAGACAAGACAGATAAGGCCTGACTCTCATTTACATTTATATATTTAAGGGAGCTTTAAAGTAGGTGCAAAGGTAAACCACAAAGTTAGTGAAAAGGACTAGCTTATATATATGTGTATGTGTGTGTGTGTGTGTGTTATTCAAAAGCAGCTATTTTTCTCTCTTTTGTATAGGCTTAGATTATGAAAACCTTTTTTTAAATTGATAAATGACAAGACAGTCTCTGGAAACATACATTCATATTATATAAATAAAAATGTAATATATAATGTCCAATAACATCATTCACTGTGCAGTCTGAGATCAATATTTAAATTGTGCAAGGGTGATGTTGTAGCCATGATGGTCCAGAAAATATGCAAGAGGCAAGGATTTCTTAGATTGATATATTTTATTGGACTAGCTATGTAGTTGGGATACATTTCATAGACATTAGGGGCTGGAAGGGACCTCAAGAGGTCATAAAGTTAGAGATACTTTTCAATGCAAGACATTCTTCCTCAGATCACTCCTCCAATTCATCCTTTGGTTATGTCTTGTATTCAAAAGCTTGTCTAACTTTATCCCAACTACATAGGTGAGCCAATAAAATATATCACCCTAAGAAATCCTTGCCTCTTCCATATTTTCAGCTACAGCATCACTCTTGCACTATTTAAATATTGACCTCAGGCCATTCACTGCACAGTGAATGATGTTATTGGACACTATATATTACATGTATATTTATATAATGTGAATTTAGGTTTCCAGAGACTGCCTGTCTTCCATTTCACTCAATCTAGCTGTTTAGCTCTAGGTAGACCTGAAATACGTTTGTCACTTAGATATTGATTTGTAAGCATTTAGAGTATTTAAATGAAAA